CAGCAAGTCTGAAGAGAAGGACAAGTCATCTAGCATTCCTTAAATAGTCTACACTTGCAGCCTAATCACACATTCTTGTATCAAACATGGTCATTTCTAGAAAAGCATAAGGTTTGAAGGGCCATAGCAGTTTGGCCCAAATAGGTATTTTGACAGCACAGGTTACTAAGTGTATTTTTTTGCATGAGTTGTCACTGGACTCTATTGGCTCGCATTGTATTTTCTTCGCAACGAAAAGCTTTGTAAAAACTGCTCAAGCTTCACTGAGACATGTTAAAGAATTAATTACAAAGTAAAGCTGAAGGAGAAAATTAATTTTGGAAACACAAGAGGTTACTTTTCTTTTCCTCCCTTTTCTGGAAGTGGGGGAGGAAAGGCAGTTATTTTCATCTTCATGCTGGGGGCAGGAGTTGGGAGCTGTCCAGTCGATAACCTGGCCATCAGAACAAGGTTTGTAATTAAAAGGTCAGTGACCTGGAAAGCTAGGGCCTCACTCTCAGGGCTTCTCAGTAATGACGGCGCTATTAAATTAAGACTGTTATGAAATCAATGCTAAAAAAGCTTTCATGGTAACGAGATTCCATTCAAGGACATGCAAACTGCCTCACGAAATGGACTTAAATTATAAAAAAGAAAAGTAATAAAAGAGGGTTAAATTGAAATCTGCTGAAGAATTTACTTCCTTTAAAGGCCTCCAGCAGTGGGCTGTGCTTCCTTCTCTCAGGACCTCAAGGTGATACACTTGGGTTTCTTTGGCAAAGAAAGACAGACAGGGGTTCAACTTTCAGGAATACAGACTAAAGAAAGATGAAGAAAATTAAGTCAGTTTTCTACTGGAGATTCTGGGCCTGACAGCATTTGTTTCCAGGGCATCAAGTGCCTTTGAGCTCTGACTGGGAAGGGGCATGTACAATTAAGTAATTTATTCACCTCTTCAGAAACCACCATTATCCAGGCATCTTGACACTGGCAAAAAACTGTGCAAGACCTACAGAAAAACCTTTGTAGTAACTCACTTCTTACCAGCCAAAGTAATGAAACAGGTTAGTAGATACAACATGTAGAAGGGCAATGCTTCCAACAACCTCCAACTCATCTGACCACGCAAGAGGGCAACAGCTTTTGGAAGCGTGTAGCCCACTATATTACATATATAGATAAAAGACCAAACCAGGTAGCATATCTTCTGAAGACTGTCCAGCCTTCTGGGTGGACATTTTCCCAACATAACTCAACCGTTATACATTTACTTGCCCTAATGCACTTCTGTTCTCCCATCAGTATAATTTCTTAGCTTCTCATATTCTTTTGATGGTTCCCACAATCCTACCCTGGGAAGGCATTACTGTACTCATTTTACAGATGAAGAGAACAAGCAACTAGGAAAAAAGCTCTTCACCCAGGATTACACAATCAGGCTGTAACCTAGCAGTTTTTCCCCTCCCTGCCCCAAAAGACTAGCACCCTGAAAAATAGAGCTCCACATGTATAGTGCACTTCCACCCCCTTTCTCTATCTTGCCAGAAGTTACAGAGTAGACAAAATTAACAAGCCACATGAGTTACTGGATGGGTAACTGAGCAGTACAGGACATCTGAGGCACAACAGTTAGATGACAGACACATTTCCACAAGGGTTTAAACCCCACATGCTGTCTAATTACTCCCAAGGCGCCGTTGATTCTGTGGCATGTCATCAGCAGAATCAGCGAGTTGGACAAAAAACAAACAGCATCTTTTTTTCCTTTCTTTTCTTTCAGATACTCTGAGGGGAAACAGCTGTTTTTCCCTTCATCTGAAGAAGTTCATGATAAAAAGGAGGAAATGTCATAAATTACACAAAATGCCAGCGTAAGCTTCAAAGAAAATGATAAATGATTCTAATAACTTCATGTTTCTCATTAATGCCTCTGTATTTGGGAGTTTAAAAGTGCTTAAAACAACAGAGAAATCTCATCCAACTTTTCAAAGACCTTTTATAAATCCAGGACACCCTCACTCTCCCAACTGTCATCAACACTATCATCCCATGTTCCGGAGAGAGCAGTTCAGCAAACCCCTGACCTGCAAGTAACCAGGAAAGCCTACTTTCAGCCTCTGTAACTACTGTTTCACAAGAAACTAAACGCAGTCCAGCTGATGATCCTGAGGAAGCTTTCATGTCTCACTGCACTGAAATGTATTAAACAAATGCCAGTCTCTACATTAAATATTAAATAATATTTAAAGGAAATAAAATCTGATCAGTCTTTTTTAGGAAGGAGATGCTTGTAAAAAAAGAAGAAAAAATTATAATTCGAGGTGGAACCATCTCTGCAAGCCTCAGAAGTGAAATTTCTTAGGCAAAGTCAGGATTGCAGGACCTGAAAGCTCACCCACAGCTAACGCTCCATTCCTATCCTTGTAGCCTACCTAGGCTGTAGCTGGGGTAGTGTAAGGCTCCTGCAGGGTTAGGGCATCTGGGCTTTTCCCTCCGCATTCACGGACACAAGGTGATTCAGCACCATCCTCTCCACTGCAGGAGTTTTTAAGCAGACTTAGTGGGGAGTCATAGATCTCTCGTGTATGGTTCCGTGAAAGTGACTACAAAAGACAGATTCATACATGGTGTACATCTTTAGATATGAAAATTCCCCTGCACTGAAATTCTTTTGGGGTCCATAAAAAGGTCTTCTACTGCAATTTCTGCTTGAAGAAACCCGAATCAGAGTAACTGTGAAAAAAATACAAGGGTAGCTCTGCATTATTTCCTACAAAGATAATTTTAAAAGAGACTCTTGTAACTGAAATGGTTTCTTTACAGAAAATGCTTTTTTGACTGGCAGTGAGGACTTCTCTACCAGACAGCCTAAGTATCTGTAAAATGGGGATAAACATTATCATTGGGATGACAATGACTGCATACCAGAGAATAGGTGGAGCAGCCTACCAAACCATGTAAACCCTCACTTACTCAGGACTGAATTAGCCACAACATCTACATTTCACGAATAATTGCCTAAGTCTGCTAGAGCACATAGGTACCATGACAGTATGTACCTTCTGCTCTCAAGCACTGAACGGTGGTCGTGTTGTAAGCTCAGTGGTCAGATTCCATACGGACATATTTCCAGTGACTGCTGGGTACAGGCATTACTGGACCCTGCTCCTTCCTATCTCCTACTGTTAAGTTCCCAATTAGCATAAAGGGAAGGAGGGCTAATTAACAAACAGGAACATACAAAGAGCTCTACCAAACCATTTCTGCTCTTTAGTAATTATTAGCCAAGTAATTCATAAGAAGTATTAGTCAGGCCACAGTTTCTCTGTGCTTCCATCTCCCCACCCTTCCTCTTCTCCCAGTCAGGGATTTATTAAAATTAAACAGATTAGATGGAGCTCCTGATACTAAAAACTGTTCAGCGAAGCCTGCGGTGGGGAAGTGCAGAGCAAACACCAGAGACATTTGTCTCTAAATTGCTCTAAATACCTTCTGCAAATGAAATTCTAACCCAGCTGTGTTGAGAGAGAAAACGAGGAATAACTGGTCATTGTCAGCACAGGAGAAGATCAGGCAGTTATAATATTGCACGATATACTGGGGGCTAAGGATCTCTCGGCAACAATAGATTTTATATCAGGTTACCCTGGGTAATCAGCACAGCTTTTAGGCTCAGCTTTCCCTTGCTTCATTGCTTCGATGATAGAGTTGAAATCCCCAAGCTTTTATGATTAATTACTCCCCGTAGGTCCACATATTTCAAGGAAAAACTCATGGAGCACAGCGGCCAACAGGCTCCCTTCATGCCATCCTGATGGCAGGGCAGGGCAAGCAACATATCTATGTGATTGGATTGTTCTCTAACTGGCACTAGGACAAGCAGTGAGAGAATCACACTCAAAATGATGTACCCATGAACTACGTGTCATGACATCATTGCTAAAACACAAGACTGCCATTCCCTTCTAGGTCCTTTGCTACTCAAGATGAGCAAAGTGATGCATATACTTGAACTCTCCATTTCATGACATGAGGTCTCAGGCATCTCAATAAACAATTCATAATCCTGAACAGAGTAATATGTATTTCATAGGCTTCCCTGCTTTTCAAAACTCAAGATCTTTAGCTATAGAATTTGATGTACCCTGAAGTACTTATGACTTCAACGTATAAGTGGGTCACTCCCCTCCAAAGTTTGGAGTTTGTATTTTCAGTATCATTCCAACTGCTTAAAGTGCTCCATAGTGCATGTAATTAACTCCAAGGTAAGACTGTCCTTATTATTTACATCTTGCAGTAAGGACCTAAGCAATATGGTCCCAGGAGGGTAGCATAATACGGAGCGAACTTCACCTGAAATGCACTGTAACTTGTGGACTCAAAACTTTAGAAAGAAAAAAAAAGAACAAAGATAGTTCCGCTCTGACTCAGAAAGTAAAATAAAATCTCAGTAGGCAATGGCCAAAGTACGTTCCATCTGTCTAAGACTATATAGCATTTGTCAGGATCTGTTCTATCCCTGGTATAGAAAAAGGCTAACCTCAGTCAGTAGTTTACCATTTCAGCCTGAAAGTCAGGTTGACCCCATGCTTGACCTTAACCTGACCTTGTTTACTTTCACCAAGTCCTTTGCCCTTCATTCCTCTCGCTGGCTCTCTTCAGAAACATTCGACCTTTTCACCTAGAAGCTGGTCATTCTAAAGCCAATGTCACTAAGGTTAGAACTGACTAACTAGTCCACAACACTAAACTGTCCTCATTTTAGAAAAGATCTGATAATAGTTAACCCAGAAACTTCCAATCTGTCTTCTGTATTCTACAATTCCACATCTGGTGCCAATATTGCTCTAGTCAGTTTGGAAAAAAAAGAGACTGATATTTCTTACAAACTTCAAAACTTTTTTTGAGACAGACTACTTGCTTTGTCCTTAACATCTGATTTTCCATAGCAATAAGCTTCAGCTTTATGCTAACTCTATCTCCCTCATTATCACTGAGACCACAAACTTAAGAGTCCATACCTTTCTTCTTCAGAAATGCTCTTCTGGTTGCAAGAGGACTTTGGCGGACTCGTGGATTCTGTAAAAACTTCACTGCTGTCACAATCTGATGAGGGTAGGTGGATTGGAGAAAGAGAAGAGAGAAAAGATTGAAGTTAGTAATGGTCAAATTCCTATTTTACATTATGCATTCTGTACTGTGAAGTAAGGCATCGTATCCAACACATGGAGATGGTCTGGAGCTGACACTGATCCAACTTTCAGAAACGGTTCAGCGAGCATCAGAGTTTGAAGCTCAACTCTAAACAGACAGCACAATTACGGTATTTCAACATAGAAGTTTCTTGCTGAGTTACTCTTGGAGCAGCTCAACCTGTACAAAAAACTCCACTAAGATTCTTAGGGATTTCTGTCATTTATACAATGAACTCCTTACCTAAGTTGGCCCCTGTAGCTGAGGGCAACCTTGAGACAATGCATGTGATGTGTAGTAGGCTTACTAGGAAGAATGCTTCCTTTCCGTCTTCCTTAAAGTTCCCTGCAAATTCTAAGAGATTAAGGCCTTTTCTGTCATCATTCTAATTTACTGAAAGCAATAAATAAACCTCAGCTTGTCATGACTGGAAAAGAAGGAACTTCACATGCTTTGGATCACATAACAAAAATGTAAAAAAAGTCACTTTTCATTATATAAATGGGTTGGTGAGTAGTTAAATTTATGTTCCACACCAGCAGAAATCACAGATTACTTTTGCCTAAAGACTGACTTCTACATCCTTCTTTAAGGCGACACAGCACTTAAACCACTTATTTAAACAAAGGGTAAAGTATGGGATAATATTCAATGTCATCAACGACAATGACACTATTTGTTTACATTTCCGTTTAGTGCCAATGAAAGGTATGTGATCTTTTTCTTCATATGGTAAGTCAACATTCTACATGCAGTCCTACACCATTACACACATTATTACCTGTTGCTGCACTAGTGAAAAACAGCTGATTCCCTTTACTTTTATACAAAGACAACTCTTCTAATAGTGGCATCAGGGGGAATAATGTGCCTGAAGTTACGCAGGAGGTGGACACAACCATGTGAACTAGTGGAAGAGATTACTCCCTTCCTCTAGAGCTAAAAATAACCATGCATATGCATGGAAGAGGTTTTCCTCCCCACACAGTGGCATAAACCTTCTCCTAAAATGGTGGTATGTATATGCTAGACCTATGTTAGGTAGGTCTTGAAGAGTTTACCTTAAAATACAGTTTCCAGAATTCAGTTCCGAAAAGGTTTTCAGAACTTTTCACAGCAGAAAAAGAAAAAAAAAAAATAGTGTCACTACTGAAATCACTAAGTTTTACTTTGTGTTTGAATCAAACCCTTCGAACATGCATTTCTGGTCAGAGAGCAAAGTTCTGATGGGTTTAATGGCACTTTCAATGTACTCCTCAGTGCATTCCATCAATGTTTTTTTTCTTTTAAATTGCATCTCTTATTTCTTTAAATACATTAATCAGGCTGGTGTAGGCAAAACGGATCCATTGGACAATGCAATAAACATGAATTATCATCTATCCAACACGCATAATGGCTTAAAAATACATAATAGCAGGTGTAGTTTAAATGATTAGTTATTACACCTGTGGTGGGTCTGATTCAATTGGGGAAAATCATCTTTAATAGGTTAAAAGGTTTAGATCACCAGGCTTCCCTTAAAGTGGCTGTAGAGAGGGTATGATGGAGTACGCTGTCATTACTAATTCATTTAAGAAAAACATGGGGGATACAGCAAAGAACAGCATAAACGAGCGAATCCAATTTAAACATCAGGTAAAGCAGAAAACACCTTTTAAAAAAGCATGATAAATGAATTTGGAAGAGAGATGAAATTGACATATTTATTTTAACGGGAATTTGACAAAGTCCCAGCACACTTCAAAGTTGGGAGGATAAAATGAATGGGGTATTTTTAATTCTTCTTCTTTTCTTATTTTCCTTCATTTTTTCCTTAAGTTTACATTCAGTAATTTTGAACCATAAAATACTACAGCAAAATAGCCCACATAAAGTACACTTCGGTTTCATTTACGTGCACTTGATCTGTCTCCAGCTGAAATGCAGGTGACAGGCAAATCACAGATTTAAACTCTGCTGATATTGCTACGCCAGATGCAGAAATATAAAGCACCCAAACTAATAGCCTTAAGATAATATGCTGAATAAGAAAGATGCCCAAATGAGCAGACCAACAGATATGTGAACATATCAAAACCACTTTCCTTCTAACAATAATTACTTGTTTGTTTCTTCAGAAACTCCTCAATACTCCCTCCCACATTTAGTGAGCTAGAGACACAGACACAAATGGCCTGCAGACCTGAAATCCTGCAAGCTCTCATATTTAATTATCAGGTTTTAAACATTAAAAAACCTGTAAGAAATAAGCAGCATTTTTCATTATGCTATTTCAGTCACAACCGTGTGAACATTTTATTGATTTTAACTCTTTATTAAAACTTATTTTTGTCTTGTAAAATGTAAACATTTCAGTAGTAAATTTCATTCCAAAATAAACTTCTATCTTATCTCTTCCCTGCATCACTTCCTCCATTATTCACAAAATTTTTAATCTTAAAACAAAATAAAATTACAAGCAACAATAAATTTCATTAAAAAAACTACTGGACATGTATTCCTCCTCCCAATAATCCCATGTTTCTCATATTTGTGTTTGCATTTACCTCTGAACATTCCTCCTATAGGCTGAGCTGAAACTTTGTCATTTTTATAACTCATCTTGTATACATGAGCAACTCATAAGGCAATTTTGGCCACGTCAAAATGCCAATATTTTCAACAAACATACAGAAGAACTTTCCTACCTTCTATGGATCATTTTCTTTGCACAAACAAGGGCAACTGCAGTCCATAATTTAAACAACAGAAAAAAGAGGAGGAATATGAGAAGACTTTGCAGTCCTGTGTATAGCCAAAAAAATCATGCAGCAAATAGCACTCTGACTCAGCTGGTAACATTGTTCCATACTATTTCTGTATCATTTGTAACACTTCTCCAACTTTTTAAGAGTATTAGGACACTGCCAAATAATGTGCATTGTATCGCTATGATTCTTAGATTGCCAGCACACTGGCCAGCTAACTAGTTCTATCTAGTGGGTCAGGTGCGTATTTCTTTTAACGAAAGACAGCGTATTTGGCTTTTAAGAGCAAGTCAATTCCACCAACTTGCTATCCCACCGCCACTTCTCCTGCAGTGGCATGATACACAAAGACTTATTTCTGACTGGGTGGTGGTGGGTGGAATCCTGCAGCAGGTCTTGTCCTACAGTTTGATTTTCTAATTAGAAGATTAATGTAAAGATTATATTTGTGTCTGGCCAAATTACATAAATTCAGGCCAAATATTCTGCTTCAATGTCAAGGATATAAAACGGAGACAGGAACTTTATTGCAGATATTGTGGGAGTGCAGCAGGCTGGTGAAATTCTGGGCCAAAGCACAGCACTTTGACATTATAGCCAAGGTCCCTCATTCCTAATTTCCCTCCCTTTTGTGTTAATGGGGAAGGTAAAGCCAGCCTTGTTTCTTATTACACTCAAAGCTGCAGGGTTTCCAATGAAGCAATCAAAGCTAGTTTATCAGTTACTATCATTAGAAAAATAAACTATGAAATTTAAAATACTATGGCAAATGCTCACTTTCTACCATCTCAAAAAAAGCCCAGCCCCAGTCAACTAACAGAAACGTAAAAGAAAATCACCTTCATCAATAAAAGTTCCACAGGATTCAGCAACAGAATTCCACGTGGAAAACAGAAGCAAAAGCCACCGGGAGTGCAGCCCGTAAGAGCTCTAATAGATTTCCTAATACTGGGAACCCTCTGTAGGTTATTACTAAACAGCATTTGTTGATAGACTGAGACTTTGAGATGACCTGTGATGTAAAGGTTGGGTCTGAATTATACGTTGCAAGGGATGGTATTTTGTCTTTCTGAGTGGATCTGTATCTGTTTAAATGCAACACTTCTTTTCATTAAGCAGAGGCGGCACAGGCCATGAACTATGCACAGACAGTTTACATTACATGTGCGGAAGCAATCAACACTGGCAATATACATGACGTATGTAAAAGAAGTTGGAATTAATTTTTTTCCAGTGTATTAAAAAATAATAATATGGCAGTATCAACAAACACTCAACCTATTTCAGCCAGAGCAGAAGGCCACAGCTATAGGGCAAATGGAACTGATCAATATATTAGCTTACAGCAACACCCCCTCAGCGTACGGCTGTATGCTTGCAAGACTCAGAAGATTAAATTGTCTGTGAAAGGTTTCTGCACTCCTACTCTAAAGGAGATACCCAGAATCCTGTTAACAAGCATCAGGCTAAAGCCAACTTACGTTTTAACAAGGACTGACTTAAAAGCCTGGCACTGCAATGAACAAGAAAACCCCTTCAAACAGAAATGCTGCATTTTAGTAAGAAATCAGTGCTCTGCCAGGACTAACTTGACAAATATGGTTATCAGTGGCACACGGAAATTGTTGCAAAGCAGCTGTTAATCAGGGAAACACATCATAGAACGCTGATGCTAGCACTCATGAAAAAATGCAAGGGGCTAATTATGAAGCCATATATCTCACTAAAGAGGCACTGTTCCTTGAGATTCTAGGCAGAGCTCTCTCAGAGTTGGGGTCCTGGGACACTACCTACACAATGTTCTCTAACACAAGCTTCCTTCTCCCAGGACAAACCTTTTCCCAATTCAGTGTTCTGCACCCCAGAATTCCTGTGAAATTCATATTTCACAGAAACTGCTTGTTACTTCTGAAGAAATTATCCGCAGGTCAGTCAGGAGGGAGGAAACACTTTAAAGCTCCTATAATTTCACTTAAATTTTTATGAAACCATACAGAACCCCAGGAATTATTTCTGTTGTGAGAGAACCTAGAAACCCACAAAGTTGGCAGATCTCAAAGTCGTATAGAGAAAAGTTTAAAAATGCAACAACAATAAAAAACCCCTCATGTAAAACAGAGCAAAGAAAAAAAAAAACCCACAACAGTTTAAAGCAAGATTCAC